CAACCAAGGATTTTAGCATACTGATCCTGTTCAAACTGGAGATCTCACCAGATTATCCGCCCTCTCCCAGAAACTGTAATTAATATCTGCCTAAAATGGTTCCAATATAAACCACATGTTGGCTCTGTTTGTGTTAAACAAACCAAAATATTCCTGAGCAGGTGCTTGCAACAGGGATTAACGAGCCACACTGGCAGAGAGAGACATACTCGGAAACGACTCATCAACTATACTGTATTATATATATTTATACTAGCAGCATGGCCCGGCGTTGCCAGTGCTTGATTCAAAAATCGTACGACTCACAGCAATCGCTGTCACTTGACTTAAAATATTTTTTCCCTTTCTTGCCTTTAAAGGAGTGCCGTTTGCCGTGCTGATGTTGCTACATGCCTTACTTCTTGCCTATCTCACACTGCGAATTTTTCGAAGCACTATACTAAACATTAAATCTGTTACGAAAAAAGAACTAAACAAAATGAACACAAAACAATCAGCTTTAAAAAAGGACTCGTAACTGGAAAAACCGAATGAAAAAAGAATGTTAAAAACAAATACTTTTTCACACCCAACCCAGTTCTGCGGAATCAGAATCAACGTGGAGTTTAAGCAAGCGAATGAGCCAATTGGAGTAAAGTGCCATGCAGATTTAAATTTTTCCCACTTATGACGAATGCAGCTATCGATTTTTTTTGCATACTAGCATGCTAGTTTACATTTGTTTCAGTCAGTTGTTGGCTCTCACGCTGGCCAATAGAATCTTCCTACCTATTCATGGCAGCCAGCTATAGGCTCTTACTCTGGCCAGTAGAAAATGGCCGCAAACTACATGAAAACTGCCGTAGAAGCATGAAAAAGTAGATTATTTCCACTATCGATGGCAGTTGGGAAATGCAAAGTCGGTTTTGGCCTCCCCACGAACTTTGTGCATGTAAATTTTTGTGCAAATCCGTCGAAAATTGCAACCGTGCATTCGTTACACACACACACACACACATTCTGCCTTTTATAGATAATGATAAGAAATTTTATGTCAAATATAATACGCACATGTTATTTTCTTAGTTGGGCTTTACGTACTTGTAATTGACTTAACACCTTCAAAATGTTTTTCCTTAATATTTAACAAGTCAGATTTACATGATTAGTTAAGAATATCCGAATATCTCTGTCAAGTTCAACGCTTCTGTCAATTTTAAGGAAACTCGCTCTCTATTAATACTCTTTTTTAAGATCTTATTTTTAATTCTATCAGCATGGCTGATGCTAACCTCCAGGAAAGGAACTGACTATGTCCTCTTGGTCTGACGTTTCCTGCTGACACGAAGTAGAACGATTATATTGAATTAATAGCTAAGTCTGCTGCTACGAAAGTCCGTTTACTATGTCGTGCGAACGAAACCATTTTTCTTGTCGGTATCTATCTGTCACATTCATAAATATTCCATTTGTTTGTGCATTGAATATTTCTAATATATATGGTTTAGTGCTTCTGATATACATCTAGAGATACTTGGCAAAATCTAAACAAGAGTTTGCAATATCATCGATCCTGACCTGGCATCTCGGCACCAATCACTTTCTCATCGCCGTAACGTCGCTTCCCCATGCCTTTTCTCTAAATATTTTCACGGTAATTGTTATGACGAGCTTTCCTCTTTGGTACCTCGAGTCCTTGAATTTAAGCGCAGTACTAGATTGGCAGCTAGGTCTCATGTTCACTGTTGACTGCTAGTTGTAGCCGTAAGTTCTATGTTAATAGTTTCTTTTCTGCCACTTCTCGCTTGTGGAACTCACTTCCGGCTTCTTGCTTTTCTGTCAACTATGATCTTCAAGATAAATGTTAATCTTAAAAATGTAAATGCAATGACAGTCGTCATTTTCAGTCTTCTTGAATTTTGTTCTTTTATTGCCCACTCTATATTTCTTTCACTCTCAGTAACTCATTGTATTCTAGTGACTGTTGTTGTATTACTTGGAACGAAATGATTACAAAAAAGTAATCACAAAGAGTTTCTGGGTTTAGTCATGATATATATGTGAATTTACTGTCTGTAATAATTATGATAGAAACATACCAAGAGCAGAGTAAGATTCTTTGTTATTGCATGGAATGTAAAGAAACAGTTGAAGAGAAGTGAAACTGATCAGAAATTGTTTTAAAAGATAATAGATTTTTTAAAAATAATTTCATCTCAAGCAATGCGATAATGCCACTCGGGCGCAAGAGGTTACTGAGTGTGAAAGAGAATGATAAAATTTTAGTGAGGGGAAAGGACAATAAAAGAACAGGATTTAGGAAGACAGAAGATACCGATTGGCATTGCAATTAAATTTTAGAAGATTGTAGTTGGCAGGGAAGCAAGAAATAAGAAGCGAGATCTATAGACAAGAAGTGCGAGAAAAGAAACTATTAGAATAAGAAATATGATTGCATCGACCTAGTTCCAGTAAAACGGTGAGGCTTTGTTGCCAATCAGGCACACGCTTAAATCACATGCAGTCGAGACACCAGGCATGAAAGCTCATCAGAAAAATTGTCATGAAAATATTGGTAGAAAAGACAGAGGGAAGCCACGATTACAATTGAGATTCACACGTCTCTCTAAAGTTTCATTTAAATCCTTAAGCCCTTCATTAGTCAATGACACTAGGACGCAAGGGGCTACTGAGAATGAGATGGCTTTAGTGAGGAGAAAAGTCAATAAAAGAACAGAGTTCAGATGACAATCGCTATTGCATTTATTTTTTTAATATTGTAGGTGGCAGAAAAGAAAGAGGGGAGTTTTACAAATGAGAAAAGAAATGATTAGAATAGAACACACGATTGTATCTAGCTTGTTCAACAATAAAACGGTGGGACCTAGCTGCCAATCTAGTAGCACACTTAAATTCATGCAGTCAAGGCACCAAGGAGGAAAGCTTATCAGAAGAATTGCTATGAAAATATTTGTAGAAAAAACAGAGGGAAACAATGTCACGTCGGTGAGAAAGTAACTGATGTCGAGATGCCAGGTCAGGATCGATTAGCTTACAGAGCCTTTGAATTTTGTCAAAAATCTGGGAATATCAGACCAGATATGGTAGCAATATTCAATGTCGATGCACGATAAATCTATAAATGGATAACATAAAAATTAAAAAACAATAAAATAAGAATTATTTATTTAACTTTTTCTCAGAACAATTTTACATATGGCACTTACACCATAAACACATAAAGCAGGTCAAGCAACATCAAAGAGTGAACGGACATGGCCCTGCCGGAACTACTGAGAGCCACCAACAACAGGTCCTCCTGGAGGGTGTTGTCTGTTTCTTCTACTCTTAGGTCCCCCCACTGATGACTGAAGCAGTCAAGGGACTAATGATCATGAGTGTGCTGATAAAGAATTTACATTTATCGTTCATAATTCTCAGTTTATTGTGGTAAGTAATTGAATGATAATTTCTTGCAAAATGCTTTTGTAAAATGAAGAAGAGAAGTTTTCAACAAGCCATTCTACTCAACTTGTGATGTTTATGCCATTTGCTTGAGATTAGTCAGGAGTGAAACAGATTTGCATGTTCTTTGGCTGACAATACCAGTGCCTTCATCCAGAGAAGAGATATTTTAACCCTTCTTAACAAAAACAGCATGCAAAATGGATATGTATTGGTCAACAAAATAAGTCGTTATTTTCTTCTGTGCAGCTTTTTAGGAGGATTAAGTACAAAATTTTAAACATCAACTCACCATTTGTTTGTACATTCAACCACTGGGCAATTCAGTATTCTTTGGATCAGTTATTATAATCTTTTAATGTAATAAAAAAATTAAAAACAATAAAATAAGAATTATTTGAGTTTTTTTTCACAACAATTTTATATATGGCACTTACATCATAAACACTGTAATAAAAGAGTTAAAAGTAGAAATGAAATGAACAAATTTAAACATATTCATCATGCTGAGTTACTAGGATTCAGCCACTGCATTTATGGTATTTAAATTTTTTATAGTCATTTTTAATTGTTTATTATACAATATTGTATATCATTGACTCAAGATAATTAAATCATTAACCCCTTCATTAATATCATAGAATATTTGAACACCCTATCAGAAGTTTTTCCTTAATATGGCAAATGACAAGTCAAATTTTCATGATTGGTCAAACAAATTTAGTCGTCATATATGTGTGTGTGTATATTACAAGCACATCACTGTAGAGATTGTCTGTAATAATCATTGTAGAAACGTATGCATAGACCAAAGTAACCTTCTTGTTCATGGTTTATTTTTCTTCTATACGCCGCGTCCCTTCAGGACATAGGGGTTGATGGCTCTCCACAACTTCCTATTCTTGTGGTCCCTGGTAGTTTTCTCCCTTTGCTAAGGATCCCGTCCCCCGTTGACACAAGATCGTCAGCTAAGTGGCTCGCTGCTGTCCCCTACCTGTCTGGCCCTCGGTATGCGGCGTAAGGATTAAGAAGAGATGCGTCTTATACAAGGATTAAATCGTCAAGTAAATATAGTAATTAAATCATTTCTTTTATTCTGGGGTTTTGTAATTGACATTTGTTTCATAAACTTTATACAAAATTTAGAAGTTTAAAAAAACTATATATTTTTTTTTTTTTTTTTTTTTTTTTTGCACACTTCATTTCTTCAATTTCTCACAGAAATTCATGGCATCTGTTCAAACAAACTACATTCTTTGGTTCCACCAACCTGGACCTTTACAAACTGTGACCCGCTATACGACGTACACAAGGATGAATCGTCCCCATTCCCTTCGTATTCCATTTGTAAGGAGGAAGCCCCAATCGGACAGCTGCATTGTGGAACAGACTCACGGCAGAATATTTTCCCAATAACTACAATCTTAACCTCTTCAAGTCTAAGGTTAGCCATTATCTTTCCTACATAACCTCATAAACTGCGCTTCTTATCTTTTCTTACGCACTTAGAACGCCACAATAACCGTCTACCTTGAGTGACTCTTGGGTCTTGTGGCTTACAGCCATATCACATTGAAACATCGGTTCCCGTACGATCACCGAAGTTAAGCAACGTCAGTACCTAGATGGGTGATGGCTTGGGAATACCAGGTGCTGTAAGTTTGGATGTGCGAGTGGTGTAATGGATAATGGCTTGGAATTGTTCCTCGGAGAACCGAGTTCCAATTCCCGTTGGGTTCGTTATATTCACGTACGCGCAAATATTCTTCTCCTTCCAACTTTGAGTTAATTAGTAAGACTTGTATCACTGAACCAAAAATATTCTTACAGTCTAAAAATATTTCTTGGCTTTAAATAACCTACAAAGGGTTGATAAGCCGTGGAAAATGAATGAATCAATTTTGGGTTTTGTATTGGGTGAACATTAGTATAAAAAATCTTATTGGTTCCGCGCAGGCTATGAAAAAAAATATAGGGATAACATTCGTCAGTATTTACATTATTCGGACTATTATCCTCATCTTTATCGCCATATTTATTACAACGTTTCGGTCGTTGTACGCTCCGGCCTTCTTCAGGTAGTTCGAATGTCGAACTGAACCCTTTATTTAGCTCACTGGGGTAGACTTCGCTCACAGTCTACACCAGTGAGCGAAATAAAGTGTTCAGTTCGACATTCCAACCACCTGAAGATGGCCGGAGCGTACAACGGCCGAAACGTTGTAATAAATATGGCGATAAAGATGAGGACAATTGTCCGAATAATGTAAATAGTGTACATAATACCTCATCTCAGAAATATAGACAAACATTGACCAGATTATGGAGAAAATAGAGATAACATTGGTCAGCAAGTGTTCACGACGTTATCATTTATAATTGACATCTTTACCAGACGAGCCACGATGAAAACCTATACGATAAAAAAAGGCGTTAAACGGGGAAAGAAAAATCGCTTTGAATTTGTCTATCAAAGCGAATAAATCTAGAATTATTGGGGAGAACGTCTGAAAATGAAACCGGCAATGAATTAAATGGGATTTTTTTTTTTTTTAAAAAAAAAAAAAAAAAAAAAGGGAAAAAAAAGCCGAATAGAAATATGAATTCACATGACGATGCTTTTATTATGACGAGGTGGTGGTGCAGCCGCTAGCAGCAGTCAGAATTCATTTTCAGTCAGTTGTACTTATTTAGTTAATTGCCCTCACAAACACGCACACACGCAACAAAAGGTTGAGATGCTGAGATTTTCAGTGTAGCTGAATAGAATTGCAATAGTAGAGAGAAATGAATCGAACAAAAAAAAAAGATAACTGTAAAATCGTTAATGTTAAAATTCACCAGCAAAACGAGTGTGTCAGAAGGTAATGAAACTGCCGCTGTCGAGCGGGAGACAAATGTGCTTTTTCTCCTTTCCCTAGCAACTACACATCTGCTAAATAATTCCTTCTCTTTTTATCTCTACGCCAATTCCTCTTTTCTTTCTGTCTTTTTGACGCTGCACATATTTCTGGTTTCTTTGGTTTATTATTATTATTATTGCACTCTCTCCTTTTTGTGCGTTTCTCTCTCTCTTTCTCTCTCACTTTCTTCCTGTCTTCTCTTCGTCGTTTCGATTTTTTTTCCCTTTCTTTCTACATCTGTCAATATCACCTTAATTTTTTTTTAACCCTCATGCAACTCCGTAACACACACCCACATCCACATTTGCTTGTTTCAGAACATGACGCTCAACTCTCTCTCCGTTCCAGATTTCACGATCGCTGAAATATGCCTCTTCTCTTGTCGACCAAATTTCTTTGCTTTAACTTGTCTTAATCGAAAAAGACACATTACTATCTATTTTTCTCGCCTCTTTCGACACTTGCAACCAAACGTAGACTCGCAGATGCACTCCGACACAATAACAATCTCTTCCTGAGTGGTGGATTTAAAAATCAAAGAAAATTAAGAGACGGTGTAGTACCCTAATAATCCTTCTGATCTGGACCTAGAATTACATCCACACAAATTTACGGCAAAACGCACATCAAGCAGAGAGAAGAGAAAAAAAAAGGTAAGCGATTTTTTTTCTTTCAAAATTCAGTAACGTCTATCATTTTATAATTAACGTGATCGTTATTTTTTTGTTTTGTTTTTGTTTTTTTCTCACAGTCTTTGCTATTTTCTTTGACGTCTAAATTAAACTGTTGCCGTAGCTATCGGTATGTCTTTCGATTTACATATTTAAACGTAAATAGACACATTAAACTCCAGACGAAGATGGATTAGTCATTGATTAATCTTGAATTAATTGATTTTTTTTTAAGCACGTGTATTCATACGGAACTTCGAAACAAAGAAATACTTCCAAACGAGACTCGAACTCTCATGGAAAATGTACATTTTATTAAATAAAATGTACATAAAATTTATTTGTTTAAACACACGTGGTACAGGCATTATTACATCGATATATAATTTATTCCATGGGGAATTAATTACCGAACTTCAACTCTGAACGTTTATTGTAGTATTATTTTAAAAATAGACGAAGGTAAATAAATAATTTGTAAAGAGAATGAACAACAAAAATGTAAATTTTCTAAGCATGTGACCTAATCTCTTTTATATTTACTGACTAGTATGAACAAACAGACAAATCAATGAATTTTCGCGATTTCGAAAAAAAAACACTATCCTCAAAAATAATTTTGAATATATAGTAATTTACTAAGTGTGCCTTAGATGTGGTACAAGGCCTCAAAGATCTAAGTACACATATGCAGCAACAACAATCTATAATCCTTATTATTGCCTGACCGTCACTATTCGTAAATTTAATTAATCAATCAGCTATCGAACCAGTGAGTGAATCACCTGAACATCTGACCCTCACTGCAAGTTGAGGCATCTCGACACCACTCAATACAGAATATGTCCCCACATCACTGTCTTCTCTGTTTCTCTCTACACTAACCCCCCACTTTGCTGGCGTTAAAAGTTTGTAACTACCTGGTAACAAAAAACAGGAATTTGTGGAGAGCCACAATTGCTTACGCCCTAAAAGTCATGACGCATAAAAAAGAACTACTTGTCCCATATATATATATATATATATATGTGTGTGTGTGTGTGTGTGTAAAATGAATGTATGTATATGCCAAAAATATAGTTTTAAGGTGTGTTATATTTATGGATAAAAAGTGCTCAATAGTAGAGATAGAACGCATGTAAATATAAAAGCGGACACTGAAGTAGGTCAAAACCAAGTGGCGACAGACTGTTTTATGCTTCAACACAGTCTTCATGGCCTGAAGATTGTGCTGAAGCATGAGATTGTCGCCGCTCAGTGTTGACCTCAATGCCCAAACATAAACACACACACACACACATATATATATATATATATATATATATATATATATATATATATATACTTTTATATAATATGATATAGATACACTTTTATATAATACGATAGAGATATATGTATACTTTTATATAATACGATATATACATATACTTTTATATAATGATATATATACATCTATATATATATCATTATAATATGATATATATATACTTTTATATAATACGATAGAGATATATGTATACTTTTATATAATACGATATATACATATACTTTTATATAATGATATATATATATATATATAATTATAATATGATATATATATATATACTTATATAATATGATATATATATATATATATATATATATATATATATATATATATATATAATATGATATAGATATCAAATCAAATTTAATAAAATCAATCCTCACAATCAAAGATGCTAATTTTTCTAAGCATCATATAACTGGGTAACAACTGAGAGCTCAGAAGACAAATATTTTTTCATAGACAACACGCCTTATTTAATACATTTGACATCATTTCTAGATGGTGTTATTAAATACATCGAGATGAGAAATATGAAATATTTGTTAACAGCACTTACACGTTTTTTTTTATTTTATGGTTTTTGTTTGTGTTGTTGTATTCAGGTCTTTTATTTATTTATTATTTATTCTGAGATATATCATGAGTAAATAAGGTTTGGAAAATTTGACACTCACAAGATACATTAAAGTCAAGATGGACAGAAAGAAACGGTAACATACCTAACACCTAACAAACTTGTGCAAATGAACTGAGAGTGGAATATATAGTAAGAAAAATAAACATTGCTAAAAGCTAGAAACGAAATGAAGCTGTGGAGAGCCATGATCGTTCAGATCGTGAAGCGACACGGCATATAAAAAAAGCATATAACTATTGTTTGCGCCGGAAGTCAATTTTTTAAAAAGTTCTCACAGGTAACCCCACTCTCATACCCCATAACCAAATCATTAACAATCAAGTAATTGATATATTTTAATTTTTTTTTTTTTTTCAATATGAAAGGAAATTACTGGCTTAATTTTATCGTTCACTTCCCACTGTTAATTTCTCTGATGCAATGCTGATATTTATTTTTTTAGTAACGGCTTATAATCACACAATTTTAAGGACGTTTCCCCCCCTATTTAGACAAAACAAAAAGTACTACACAACTTCCCGGATTGCATAAATACTTTTCAGTAGCAATGCTAGTTAAAAACGACTACCTATAGAATCACTTTTTATACCAACTTTTATAAATTTTACTTATTTACACTAAAGTGTTATTATTGTTTCATGATAACTCTTTTTTTAAATATATTCATTTCTTATACAATAAGTTTTATAAAATTAAGCATTTAAACTTAATTGTAAATATTTAAAGATGAAGAATTTACACATAAAACTTATCACAAAGATGTGTGCAGATATTGTGCACATTATTTTAATGTCAATGGTTGACAAATCTTGCGGAATTTCTTTTTTGTTTTTAATTGTAAAATAAGGAGAAAAAAATCAATTACAACTCACATGTTCTGCCCCCGTAGTCAGCTACTAACACGGACTTAGTTTGGAAATAAATGCAACAAGTATGAGGCACTCGGTGAGTATCGAACTTACTCCACGGTAATAATGGTCAACCAGGCAAATTTTTCTAACCATGAGCCGAAGATAACGCTCCTACGTTCGTTCCTTGTTGAAAGATCGCCATGATTCATGGCCTCCTGCCATTTTTTTTTACATCGTTCAAGCTGTCACCTGCTTCGTATATTG